TAACAACATCAATACATACGATCACTGGATTAACAAAACAAACAACTACACTTGTAGCTTATATCCAAAAGTAAGACAGCCAGTTCTGTATTTTTTACAAACTAGCGAAAGTACCTGGCTTCGCTCGGGTTATTAGGTTGATATATTCTAGATGACTATGTCAGTGTGTAAATTCTGAACCTATTTTAGCATAGAAGAACAGTCAAAAATATTTTAAACATTTTTATTTCCTAGAAACGAAAAAAAAATTTCTATGTGGTTTTCCACTAGCTTGCCTCATTAAAAAGATGCGCGCACGCATGTGGATAAAATAAGTAATATAATACTCAGGTGCACACAATCAGGGTCAACTTAATATTTTGTAATATAAGGAACCACTTCTTTTCTATGTGGTTTTCGCTAGTTTGCCTCATCAAAAAGATGCACACGCACGTGGATAAGATAAGTAATAATACCCAGGTACAGACCCTCAGGGTCTACTTAGTATGTGTGCACAATTTCAGGTTTATAGGTTCTTTCCTTTTGGAACTATAGCGGTCACACATACACAGGCACGCACGTGTGATTTCTATTTGTAATATAAGGAACCACTTCTTTTCTATATAGTTTTTCGCATAAAAAGATGCGCACGCGAACATATGTAGATAACTACCCAGGTGCCCACCCTTAGGGTCCACTTAGTATGGGTGCAAACTTTCAGGTTTCTAGGTTCTTAGCTCTTCGAGCTATAGCAGTCACATATTCTTTCCCATGTTGTTTTTCGCTAGCTTGCTTCAAAAAAAGATGCGCATGTACACGAATAAGTAATAATACCCAGGTGCACACCCACATGGTCCACTTAGTATGTGTGCAAAATTTCAGGTTTCTAGGTTTTTCCTCTTGGAGTTATGGCGGTCACACACAAAGACACCCACGGACACCCCTTTTATTGTTATAGATGAAAGTGTGATTATTTCATTTCGAACATAAGTTAACCGCCATGGCTGTTACAAGTTGGAATGTTTATATATACTTATACTCATTAATTTCCATATTTTCATTTGCGCAATGCTCTTCTTTTGCTAAATTTGTACTTCAGTATCAATTACGGGCTGACTTAGTAGTAAAACACATACATTTTCATTATGTTATATTGTAATCGTTTTTAGCTACTTCATTTTCACATTGAATACTTTTATTTTTCTTATAAAACATTAGGCCTTTTTGTTTACAATTCTACAATAGTTTTCAGCATTCAGAAACTTTCGACAGAGCCATAAGTAATAACCTAGCTGTTATGAATTAATGCACGATTACTGTTGGAGCAAGATTGTGCTGATTAAGTAAAATGTGAGAATGAATAACAAATACAGTACATTAACATGCACTTATAAATAAAGGAAAATAGAATTACTCACCAAATAGTAGATGATACAACAAATGGTTATATTGATAAAGTAATATAATCTGCTCACGATATTGACATCGTCCATGTCTCTGACAAGTTTGAAAGGCGTTAAATGTGTATTAACAATAAACTGTCTAAAACTTATCATTAATGTTGTTCTTACTGTCTCGTAGCTCCCGCTGTCAGTGAATAAAAACGTTTGCCGGTAATTAACGCTAATCTGTCACTGAATTTTCTGAAAACCAATCTCAGCGAAAGACATGTAATTTCACTTTTAATTCGTAATATGCAGTAATTGAACTAGAGCCACGTGATCAAGGAAGTAGCGTTTCTTATCTACTCCCTTGCGTTGTGTGATTCAGTTTTGCAATTTTGCTAACTGACTAAACTCAGCTACAATTTGATAGGTAATAATATGGTACAAAATCACTTTATCATCGTCATTTAAATGTCGTATAATCTGGTGGTCCAAAATTTTGCTGTGTGTTAACCAGTTTATATTCATAACCCATTTCGATATTTTATCAGAAAGAAACTCAACTACTAATTTACTTTTAATAATGACGTCGAAAAATTACTCAGTGGTTGTAACTTAAAATAATGATCACCATCTCTAATTCTCTATTTTTTCGTGAGATGTATGTTTATATGTGATATGTATACATGAATATTGTTAGTAATTTATGTAAAAAGTAAATCATTTGAAACATTTAGAATTATATACGACGTCATGCATGTCAATACGATAAGTTACAATTGTCAAATTAGCATATGATAAAGAATATGTAGTATTTTAAAATCATTAAAACTTTAAATTCGTAAGCAAAGTCTGAATGTCTGTCTAGTTAACTTTCGTGATTGTTTCAAGGTGAATCTGACTTCTTAAGGAATGTTACATTATTAAGAAAAACCCATAACTGTGTTCGAAAGTTGTCTTATAATCGCTTTTTTTCCTATCTTCTTTTTCACATATACTTTTTGCGTTAAATTGACTACATTATATTCATGGATGTATACATACTGCAGGGCAACAGTATAAGTTTAATACTTTGGGTTTGTATTCTGCTGTTCTAAAATTCCACCAAGTAGTTATTTTCTAAACTACAAATCTTGCATAAGAGATTCTACATTAACTTAAGTTGTTTACTGATAATTTAAGCTTTTTTCTCCATATTCAAAAGTTTTTTTAAATTGCTAAATCAAATATCAATATCTGTTTGTCAAAATGTCTTAAATGTACAAACAAGCACACTTAAAAAAAAGTTAATCAAGATATTTTCAGAAATCGTTATTTTTATCATTATAGTATTTTGTTATTTTGTAAACACTTTAACACAACCCAGATTACTTCTACCTACTTTTTTGTTTGTTTGTTTAATAACATGAGTTCAGATTCTGTAATCTCAAGAATGTGGATTCAACACGTGTTTAAGAAATTCATTCATCTGACTTGTAAAGTAAAGCCAGCAGAGGAGCAGTTTGATGACTTCAGCGGTGTTACTTTGCCACGCCCTACAGAAATTACAAACTAAACTACTACGCATTCGGAAGGCAGCAAACCAATCCCGCTGATTATAGAGGTCGCGTGCTGGAAACATCACATGTACATCTGCTATAAAATTTGGCAGTAATAGTCTTCAATTGGAAACACCGAGAAATGTTTTATTCATATCACCCGAGGGAGATCTGAAGTTACGAAAGATTCTTATAAAAAAAAAGAATTTTATAGGACTTCTGAGCAAGGTTATTTCTTTAATTTAAACTTCAAGTGGAAAGAGTCAAGCTGTTTCTCAGGTCCAGTTAGTGAAGACAATTTTTGTTATTTAAATATCTCGTCTACACGAAGACTCTAGCTAGCTAACAAAGTAAAATAAAATGAAACATACAGCTTTATGCTACTGCAATAGTTGTAGATACCTATTATAGAGGGCGTGGTTTGGATGTGAAAATAACGTGTTGAGCAAAAGAAAAAACAGTTGTTGCTAGAGTGTTCCTATGATCAATAGCTTTGCATGAAATACATGCGTGAGTTAAGAATAATATTTATTACACATGAGATTATTACTTCTATTACATCGTAATACAGTTCAAATGTCTGGTCTTTGTATTTGTATGTTTACGTTTCAAGACACGGGTTGGCCATGTGGTAGAATCTCCCACCCACCCCCAGTGGTAAGTCTGAAGGCTTATAATGCTAAAAACCGGGTTTCAGTACCCTAGGTGGGCACAGCACAAATAGTCCATTGTGCAACTTTGTGTTTAATAACAGACAAACAAACAAAAAACCCTGTGGTGTAGCTCTGTATTTCGGAGCCGGAGAATCGAATTTGAATCCGTGATATACCGCAAAATGTTCCGCCGCACTTTAAGCTGCGGGCGTTATAAGAGTGACAATCAATCCCTTCACAAGGCTGGTGAGTTGTAGGATGTTGCTTGACTGATTCTTTTTCCTTTAGTTAGTAGCTCAAAATTAAGGACGGCGACAAATAGCCATAAATACAAATGCAAATGTTTATGTTTTGTAATTTATTCAAACGGAAAGTCCAACGTGTTTAATGTTCGGAGAAGTCTTACCATTTCTCATATCTTGAGCAAATACTTTTTTGTTATGTACTTTACTTATGAGATGATGATTAACTACATTTGTTTTAAATTTATAATAATTTGCTCATGCGAGCTTAAAAGACGGCGCTGTGTCTTTACAGAAGAATCGTGGTGCTGTTGGAGTCATATAAGCCTCCTTAAGTTTGGTTTATTATGAATTTCGCGCAAAGCTACACGAGGGCTATCTGCGCTAGCCGTCCCTAATTTAGCAGTGTAAGATTAGAGGGAAGGCAGCTACTCATCACCACTCGCCGCCAACTCTTGGGCTACTCTTTTACCAACGAATAGTGGGATTGACCGTCACATTATAACGCCCCCAATGCTGAAAGGACGAGCATGTTTGGTGGGACGGGCCTTCTTAAGAGATAATTCTGTGTCTTAAAAATGGCACGACGACGGTGATTTTCATGAGGTTGTTTTTTGTTTTTACATTCACATAATTTTATACTCTTTTTTTTTTTTCTTTCGAAAGAAAGTGTAAGGCTAACCTTCTTTTGAGCTATGGTTACCACTTTTTATTTTAATTTTCTTTATCTTTATGGGTAAAGATGTAATGTGGAAATTCAGTAGCTTAGGTTAAGTAACAAAAACGCATAACATGACCAACTAAGAAATATTCTCTCACGTTCGCTCAGCTGCGTTAATGATGGAATGTGTCGTCCAATAGAGTTTTATAAGTTTAAATGGGAAAACTGGCTGTGGTGGAAGTTATGTTGATGCTACTTTTTTTCTTTTTTTTTCACTCAAGCATTTGTAGTTTGTATATCTAAGAGGTCAGAAAATATCAAGTTCAAGTAAATGCGTTAAGCATCCAAACGTACAGCATATCAGTCACAATTAGAGGAACATATGAACTATTTAAATAAAAGGTAGCAAAATTACTTCGTTTATCGAGGGATTGGTAAGGCACTTTTTTGAGCACATTTTGGTATAACTGGCTTGAAGCTTCACGAAGAAATTTGAAACTAGTTTCTGACTTTATTGATAAGATAAAACTTTTCTCTTTAAGATTTCCGTAGCTATGGATATCCTGAACTGGCTCGAGTACAACTTGGAATCTCCAACAGAGAAAATTGGAATCTGAATATAGAAGATGGAGAAGAGGACGATATGAGCTCGAGCCTGGCAAGAGCTGAGAGGTCTGTCGATGACGAGAACGTGGAAAGAGAAGAAGACGAATTGATTACACAAGCAGAAGCACCTGAAGCATCTTCGTCGTCTTTATCCAACGATTGTACACGTAACGAAATGTACGTCGATTTTGAGAAGATTGGATGGTCTAGATGGATAATATCTCCTAAAGGATACCATGCCTATTACTGCAGAGGAGAATGTTCTTTTCCTCTTGGTCAAAATCAATACCCAACCAACCATGCTACTGTCCAGAGCATTGTCCAGGTGCTCACCCCTGGGGTCGGAGATCCTTGCTGCGTTCCAAACAAATTACGCCCAGTCAGTGTGCTATACTTTGACGAACATCAAAATGTAATTCTTAAGCAATACGATAACATGGTGGCCGAGAGCTGTGGCTGTCAGTGATGGCATATATTATCTTTTTTGCCACAGTTCTTGTTAGACCGCTAATCTAGGCAGCTTGCCAAATTACGTATACTTCCAGTGACATATGTTTGTTCGCCAAGAACTCCACCTGGTGGCTGATAGAACGGACTAAAACAGCGGCCTGCATTTGCTCGCCTTTAATATGGTGCTTTATCGATTTGGCGAGATAAAGGGATCGTACCGATAGCATTCAGTGGAGCTTCTGACTGAGATGTCCTTTGTGTAACAAACAGTGGTTTCAGTCTAAAAAAACTGAGTATTTGTTAGCATTGGGTTTGGGGTTTTCTCTTGCCAATTGTTTGGTTGATTATTTGTTTCAAAATATTGTTTTAACAAAATGGTATCATAATCCCTGTAATGTTTCTATACATCCTGACACCGAACTCAATATTCGTATCTAAAAGTAATGATTATTTGTAAATCATGGCGTTATCGCGTCCTAATATAACATACCCTACTCTAACAATTTAATCTTACGTTATTGTTAAAATATATTCTTTAATTTATTATCGTTATCTTAAACCGATTAAGACAACGCTTCTTGTTATAAAGTAAGATTTAAAAAAAACATTATGGATACGTAAACCTACAAAATAAAGATTATATCAGTGAAAAAAATACTGTAATAAATGTATCTGTTGAGTTGTGTCAAAATACTTTCTTGTGTACTTTGTTATTTCTTCCTGTCCTCCGCTGGGACAGTAGTAAGTCTTCCTGATTTACAATGTTAAAATCAGGGGTTCGATTCTCCTCGGTGGATACAGCAGATAGCCCGATGTGGTTTTGCTATATGAAAACACACACATATTTCTTTCTTTAATATTTCGATACAAAAATTTATCTTATAAAGTGTGATACGAATACGTTTGTTTGAAGCATACAAACAATTTAAACGAAACTTTAAATAACGAAAGTGATTGGCGGTCATGGCCAACTAATAATTACCATATTAGTTTCTCAAATTTAGAATAATTTAAATGTTGCAAAAAGTTCAAACTTGAAAAAACACTGTAGTCCTCTCAATGTTCAGTGAGCCTCGTTTACATATATATGGTCAAAATCAAAGATTGAGCTCTATGGTAATTATCTTGACAGAACAAACATATTAAGCATTTTTATATTTATTATATACTAGGTCTTCCAGAAAGTAATGCCACGTTTAGGAACACTTTCATTAACTACCCCCATAAAACATACATTACGTGTAATAATTAAATGAACCGCCTAAACGTCACGTTAGGGTAGCCTATATAATGTGTAAAGTTTAGTATAATCTAATCCTTTATACTGATGGCACACGACGAGACACATATTCGACATGTACTGTTGTTTGAATACAAGAATGGAAACAACGCCTTTCTAACCACAAAGAATATCAAAGAAGTTTATGGAAATGTTTTGAACGTTCGTAAGCGTCAACGATAGTTCATTAAATTTCGTTCAGGTAACTTTAGCCTTAAAAACTGCGATAGCAGGGGCCGACATCTTGGAATTGATATCGGTGCTCTGAAGACGCTTGTTGAGTCTAACCTAAGGCATCACACTCGTGAAATGGCCCTGAAATTGCATGTCTCTCATGAAGCAATACGTAAACATCTAAGGAATATGGGAAACTCCATAAAGAAGGTGTTTGGGTGCCTCACGAACTCTCCAGTGATCAACGTTTCCAGCGTGTGAACGTTTCTCCGTCTCTTCTGGCGGATATCGCGCGTGAATTATTTTTGGACAGAACTGTCACCG